GAGGGATGGAACCCCAGAGAGGGATGGTACCCCAGGGAGGGATGGAACCCCAGAGAAGCATGGTACCCCAGAGAGGGATGGTACCCCAGAGAGGGATGGTACCCCAGAGAGGGATGGTACCCCAGGGAAGGATGGAACCCCAGAGAGGCATGGTACCCCAGAGAGGGATGGTACCCTAAGCTTTCCTAAACATTGGATGATAGGCAATTACAACAGTAAGCCATTTCTTGAGGTTATTTTGAGGATAAAACAAACAGCAATAAATAATAATAAATAACTCAGGGGTAGATACAAATTCATGACATCGTGGTGAAATGAGTTTAATCCCAGACTTTTCTGGAAGGATGAAAAGAAAGAAATGTAAGATCCCCAGTGCTTAGTGATAAGGGCATGATTACAGAAAAGACAGGGGACACTCCGGAAGGAGCGGGTTACAGAAGCACAGTGTGCAGGCAAATTCCATTGTGCAGATACTCCCGTAAGAGTTCCACAGTCAGGGCTGGCCAGATAGCTCAGTGAACTAAAGCACCCTGCCCCCGGGGTGCACAGTGGTTGAGACTAGGCATGGTGGCGCCTCCTGTAATCCCAGTGCTTGAGAGGTTGAAAATAGGAAGATCACTATGAGTCAGATCTGTGTAGTGAGACCCACCTAAAAGCTAAACCCTTCCAAAGCTTCTCTAATTTATATGGACTGGAAAAACATTGTTCTAACTGATAAGTCATTTGGCCTCGGTGTCTATCTTCATCAAGTGTGAATCACAGATGCATCTTATCATAGTCATAGAGATATATGCAGAATAAAGTGGACTAAAAGCCCTTAAGAAACTTTGAACTCTTGCAAACCCATTTACTGCACAAGCCCAAGAGAGTTCTAGGGCTTGAGCTAACGTGCAAACCTCCTAATGTAGCAGAGCTAATAGTTTGTCAGAGAGTGTGAAGGCGTCCACATGGCAGCAGGGCTGGGTGTGAGTGCTGGCACCCGTGTACTTGGTAATCGGGAATGCGGGTGAGTGGAGTCACCCTAATTCTGCCATAGATGTCTTCTTTCTCCCAAGCATGCCTGGCTAATAGCAGCTCTGCTGGCATTTCCTCTCCTCTCCCAGCTACCTAGGAACGAGAGCCTACCCTAAATGTGTCCAGCCACAGGCCTGGCCATACAGGATGGCCATGGCAGCCCATGTCCAGATTCTAGTCAGGACAGCACTGTCACTCCATGTTCTGAGTCATCTTAGAGACTACGGTTCATATTAAATACTTGCGGTGCCTGAGGCTTTGAGCAGGGCACACAAGCCCTGCTAGGCTCTGAGGGCAGCTTTGCCTCCCGCTTCCAACAGAACCAAGTCTGAGTTCAAGTCCAGAACAGGGAAACCTTGCTACTTCTCCTATGACCGAGCTCCTGGGAGCAGGGCCCTGAACCAGTGCTGGTGGACAGAAGCAGAGGCAGGGCTGCTGGCCACCTGCTCCACATTACCACTTCCGATTCATTTTCCCACACCTAGCCCTTGGCACAGCCTCCTTATGGGCATACTCAGCTTCTGACTGTCCTCCGAGCTGCTCTTTGTGACTCCCATGGAAGCTGGAAGACAGAGCAGAAAAAATAAGGGCTTTGGAGACTTCCCAAATTATATCCAAATCCCAGTTCATTTGTTTGTTCATTCTTTCTTTTTTCTTTCTTTCTTCTTTTTAAAAAAAATGTATATAGTACAGGGTCTACAGGGTCTCACTACACAGATCGGACTCCTGGTGATCCTCCTGTTTTCAGCCTCCCAAGTGCTGGGATTACAGGCACACACCACAACACCCAGTCTCAATCGCCTTCTCAGCGGGCCCTGGGGGCAGGGCCAGCACAGCATGCTGGGGATCGAACCCCAGTCCCTGCACCTGCCTAAGCAGGCACTTTAATCTGCTGAGCTATCTGGCCGGCCCTTCAAATCCCATTTCTGATTCTTCTTGCTGTGACCACGAGAAGGCAGTCAGGATCAAGAGGGCTTGCCTGGCCCTCTCCTCAGCTGCCACAGCCTGTGCCCTCAGCTTCACCACCCCACCTTACAAGGATCTGTTTGCACATCTGTTTCGCCCACTAATCTGTCAACTCTGCAAACTCCCTGAGGACAAGGACTGCCTCTAATCACTTTTGGAGCCTGGTATAGCACACAGAGCCTGGCACAGGGCTGATACCCCTTGCCTGTTTGTTGAGTGACTAAATCAAATAAAAACTCAACAGTCACCTGGTCTGAGTCAGGCAAGAGATAGTGACGATCTCGTCCCTGTGAGCTTCAGTGAGCCGGGCCCGTCGCAACAGCAGGGTTTTCTAGAGAGGCAGGATATGCCAATCTCTCATCAGAACAGGAAGAAAACACCATAAGAGATGGCACTTGTCAGCATTCTGG